GAGAGCAAGGGCGTTACCTGAGGGTGAGACCTGCCCAGACACACATGAAAGAGGAAAAAAAAAACAAAACACCAAAAAAACCAAAAAAAACCCCAAAGATCTGACAGTTTTACTCCCCGTTCCCAAAACGCTAATAAAACGCAGACGCGTTCTCCTTTCCTTTCATCGTTTCAGCTCCACGGAGGGGGATTTCTGCAGAAATTGGCATAGTCCGGGAGGTGTTTTCCCCTCTGCAAACCCTGCCGCGCGTTTAATTTATCATTAATCAATTTATCATTAATCAATATTTTCCAAACGCGCAGAGGTAAAGGAAGAAAGACCAAGAGATGGCTCATCTCATCCCTCTTCATCACGGTTTTGCACGGGGCCTGCTGCCGAAGTCCGTGAGCACCACACATCAGCCGTGATACCTGCTGTATCTGTCTGCGTGATACCTACCCAAAAATCTCTGCTGTATTTCTACGGCGTTTGGAATCAATACGGGACTTTGCTGTCTGGTTCCAGATCAGCACGGACATTTTTTTGCACCCCAAAAGCAGAATCATGCGTGAAAATGTATTGGCAGAACATGTATTCATTATTGGCAACAGTAATACAATAGTTTATTAAGCCTCAGAGCTTGACTTTTGCCTTCTTTGCTGCTTTTTCTGTAACATCTCATGAATTTGAGGGCTCAAACTATGCGACCCACCTTAGTGCTCAAGGTACAGAACCCCAGAATGGTCGGGGTTGGAAGGGACCTCTGTGGGTAACGCAGTCCAACCCCCTGCCGAAGCAGGGTCACCCAGAGCAGGCTGCACAGGACCTTGTCCAGGCGGGTCTTGAATATCTCCAGAGAAGGAGACTCCACAACCTCCCTGGGCAGCCTGGGCCAGGGCTCCGTCACCCTCAGAGGGAAGAAGTTCTTCCTCATGTTCAGACGGAACTTCCTCTGCTTCAGTTTGTGCCTGTTGCCCCTTGTCCTGTCTCTGGGCACCACTGAAAAGAGTCTGGCCCCATCCTCCTGACACCCACCCTGCAGATATTTATAAGCATTTATAAGGTCCCCTCTCAGCCTTGTTTTCTTCAGGCTGAACAAGCCCAGCTCCCTCAGCCTTTCCTCCTAGGAGAGATGCTCCAGTCCCCTCACCGCTCTCGTAGCCTCACAGCACAGCTCCTTGCCAACGTTAAAACACGGCAGCAGAGCATAAAACGCAAAGATCTTTCTACAGTTAATTCTTTCAAAAAGTTCGAGAGAATTGCTTGGTGTTTTAAGGTTGCATTTAAACAAAATAGTTGCAGCAAATCATGATCAGTTCTCCCATCTTGCTCCGTGGTCTTTTCAGTCACAGCCTAAATCTGAGAGATCAAATGGATTTGACTGCTTAGCTTTATTTGCTATGGAGAGCACAGGGCTAATTAATTGGCAGGTGCTTTAAAGCAGGTAACGCTACACCTTTTCATCATCGCAGTCCTAAGTACTGCCCCTGCGTGCACCTGAATTCTAAAAAGGCTGCTTTAAAGCGAGTGATTTACTGTGGAGGGATTTAAAACTGAAAAAAAACCTAACGCTAAAGACAATGATCAGATAAATCACCTAAGAAGAGAGCACAGGCGGACCTGCTCTGAAGGCAGTTACAGATAGATGTTATATTATTTTCCCTTTCAGATAACAGGAGCCTGTCATGTGGTGGGACCCAAAAATCCACCATAATTGAGATTTCAAAGCACATCTGTGTAAACACTATCACATCAGTGTAAAACATCAACCAATGGGCTTTCTCTTTGAACCAAATCTACTTAATTGCAGTGCTAAATCAAAGAAACAGATCAAAGTTGAATAATCTATATGGCACCTATTTCTGAAGTAGCCTGTGCGCTGGTTGATCAAATGCACCTAAAAGACGTTTGAAACCGGCATCAAGTGTTTTTATTGACGTGACTGGCAGGTCGAGATCGAACCGCTCACCACAGCTGCTACGTCGCAGGACGTGCCCGAGGACGGGACAGCTACGTGGAGGAGGTACGTTCTTCTCAGCCGAAAGATGCTCCGGTACAGCACAGAGAACGTCCCCAGGTCCAGGCAGCACTCTCCGAGTCCTCCGAAGAACAGAGGGCTCTTCTGGTTATATGGCACCGCTGTCCCCGGGGGAGAAGGGGGTTTTTTAATATAAAATATCCTCAGCCATCAGATGCTGGAGGACCCCTACGGCTAAACCTTTCCTGTTCTATAATGGAAACATTTAAAGTAGAGTGGGATACATAACGTCGATCTTTTCCGAGTGGAGTCTTTAATGTCTGGGCACTAAACCGGTTATGCTGTTTCATAAAGTACCAGAAAAGAAACGAAAAGATAAGAAATTTTTGGTGTTTGCGCTAGTCATGTGACAGGAAAAGATAACACTGAAGGTTTTTTTTTTTGCACCTTCTGAGGCTATACCATGGGAAGTTAAATAATTTTGAAGAGTGTTTTTACGAGAGTACATAATTCAACTTAAAGCATACAGTACAATCTAATCAACTCTGCATGTACTTCCTAGAGACCGCACTTTCGGTGTCGTTGAACAAATACATATGTGGCCGAGTTCTTATTTCCATAGCAAGCAGTTCGGGCTTCTACAGACAATATAATTACTGTGTATTTCCTAAGAATAGGATATTGTCATCGGCAAAACCTGGCAGCTACCGAGGGAGCGGAGAAAGCAATGGACCGAAGTCTTCGACATACAGTCTATATGTATGTGTGTGTATAGATAGAGAGAGAGATAGGTCTATAAATCTGTTGGGTTGGTTAAAAAGAAAAGAGTTGTTAGCTGTAAAACTTTCTGTCCTGCAGTTTATTGCACCTTTATTAATTTTAGAGCGCCCTTACAACAGTGCTGTGCCAGCCATAAAATTTTAATGATATTATAAAATAGGGGCTAAGAGAATGAAGGAGGGGGTTAATGAATACGTGAGAAGGCAAACACAGGGTGGAACAAAAACCACCCAGTAGAACATAAAGGAATATGTCCAGCTGGAGATACCTGCGTATCATGGTCATTTCCAGATTCTTCCCAGATGTGGACAAGAAAGCATGGTTGGATGCTTTCAACGAGACGAGCAGAACATGCAGGAGTTACAGTGAGAGTTACACTGAGAGCCTTTCAGAGCACTGCAGGTCTGAGGAAAACAAGGTGTGTTCTCATGCAGGATTTACTAGGAAGCAAAGAACAGAACCGTTTTCAAGGCTCCATGTACAAATCAGGCCATAATCTGATGATCTACAGCCTTTCAAATGCAATACCTCCAGACTTCAAAAGCATTCCGAACTTTGTCTTCCGAACTGACGCAGTTACAGGTATGAATTCATGCATACGTACACGTATATATAAATACATCTACCCATTTACAAAAACTCAGCAGAGGAAAAAGCAATGCTGAAAAAAATATATTATCCTACGGAAAGGAAGTTCTACATTACTTGCACCTTAATTTTTTGTTCTGTTTCTTTAGATGAAGACAGAAATTCATATGGCTTTTTAGGATTCATTATTTTATTGTCTGTGGTTTTGTGCATACACATGAATAAATCCCATAAAAGCAGAATGGGACACCGAAGCTAGGTAGTGAGCACACATTTATATCCAGTTACAGCCAGTGAGAATGGACCTTTTCCACACACATCAACATTCAAATGCCTCATTTGGCAGCTTTTTCTACTAGGTCTGTAAGTGGATCACTGGATAAAACCCACCTTGACTTATTTTTAAAAATCTACAAAATTACTGTCAAGATCAAGAAAAATTCTAATTTGGAAGTCTGCAAATAAAATGATGAAAAGTCTTCTAGTTAATTCCTGTTATTTCTACCTTTATAGACTCATAGCATCATTAAGGTTGGAAAAGACCTTTAAGAGCATCAAGTCCAACCATCATCCCAACACCACCAAGGCCACCACTAAACCATGTCCTGAAGTGCCACATGTACAAGTTTTTTGAACGCCTCCAGGGATGGGGACTCCACCACCTCCCTGGGCAGCCTGTTCCAATGCCTGACCACTCTCTCAGTAAAGAAATTTTTCCTACTATCCAATCTAAACCTCCCCTGATGCAACTTGAGGCCATTGCCTCTCATCCTATCACTAGTTACTTGACAGAAGAGACCAACACCCACCTCACTACACCCTCCTTTCAGGTAGCTGTAGAGAGGGATAAGGTCCCCCCTCAGCCTTCTCTTCTCCAGACTGAACAGCCCCAGCTCCCTCATCCACAGGACGCTGTTGGCCTTCTTGGCCACCTGGGCACACT